CCATGCATAAAATCTTTCATTTAACATTCCAATAAACCATAATAGATCAGGATATTTATCAAATGGTCTTGATCTTGAAAGATAAGCTCCAAAAAGCTCGACACATCTTTTGATCTGCTGAGCTATCAAAATACCTACTTAAAAAGACTTGCCCAATAGCCCCAATATCTACTTGGCATGACAGTGAACAACTTGAGGGGTTCACCAATCTATCCATTCATGTTACAATTTTTACAAAAATCAATTGTTTTTCTTTTTTCTTTTCTTTGGTACATACTGTTAGCTTGGGCCTTTGGAGTAAAATAGAATCGGAATTTGCTCCTGGCACACCTCACACCTAGGGGTGTTTACGGGGGCGGTTTGGTGCAGTTTGGAGAATATCTTAGACCAAACTAATAAATTACAGTTTGGGAAATTCTCAAACCAAATCAAACCATTTTGGTATAAAAACCAAACCGTTTTATTACGGTTTGGTGCGATTTCTAATACAATATGGAGACTTTGTACCATTCTATGTTTTACTTGAACTACATAACTAGTAGAGAAAAAATAATAATTAACAAGCAAGCATAGATATCAATAAAACAACACAAATTCACAAATTAGATACAAAAAAATATGAATATTTAATAATAAAGTAAAATTAAAAATTTTAACTTACATTACAAGATCCACAAGCTGAGGGTGACGCCATAGTGAAAACTGAAAAGTATAACCCAATACTTTCAGGTTTCAATCAATAAAATGAAAGAAAATATTAAAATAATATCCTATATAAAAGGAAAATTGAATAAATGTATACAGTATATTGGCTAATCCATGACATCTAAACCATTATTAAATGTAAAACAAATAACAAAAACTTAGACTTAACTACATGTCTGAGAAGAATTTTGAGCTGGATCAAAATGATAATCATGTCCATTAGGTAGGCAACAAAACTAATAGGGGTAACTGATTTGGTGATTGGGTGGAGAGGTCTTACCACAAACTCAGCCAGAAGCCATTTCCCACCATAAAGAATATCCCCACAGGGGAGTAAATTCATAATCCCTTTCTAAATTGAACAGCCTAGGGACGGCAAGAAAGAAGTAATAATCACCCAATCCCCTTATCCAGACCACACTTTGCAGCAGTTAGACCTCTCCACCAACTGCCTCTTTCCATCCCAAACCTCCAAATCCATGGACATGGATTTGATTTTGGTGCAATCAGAATTCATGAATGTGTAAAGAGATTCCTTTAGATCCTATGTTTTTCTCTACTTTAGAAATGTTGACAGACGAATTGTAATTGATTTTGTTTGGCTTGTTATCTTAGCTTCTATCAATATATTATGGGGCCGTTTGGTAAGTCTTTTTTAAAAGATCTTTTAGAAGTTTTAGCAGTCAAAAGACGGTGTGAGCTTTTGCATCAAGATCTTAATAGTTTCAAGACCGTTTGGTTAAGGCACGTTTGTTTATACGTCTTTCTACATAAAGATGAGTTGAAAAAAAGGCGAAAAGCTCCATTTTGGGTTTCACAAAAATAGTTCAAAATGAGCTTATCGCGTCTTTTCGGGGTTGTGACTTTCGATGACTAGATCTTTTCCCAACCAAACAGGAAAAAAACCAAAATACAAGCTGTCGAGCTTCTAAAAAGTTGACAACCCACATGAAAAGATGCGCCAAATGGGGCCTATATATTTATAGGTTGGATGGCATCTCATCACCCTCTTTGCTTTTAAATTAAAAAAAAAAGAAAAAACTTATTTCTATTTACTATCATTTTTTTTTGAAAAATATAAAGTAATTTTATTAAATAGAAGGAAATTGAATATAACAGGCCACTACGAAGGCACAAGTAGCTTCCTCCTCTACAGGTTTGGTTGAACAGAGGAAGAGGGTTTCGTTGGAAGAGAGATGACCGGTGAGTCGGTGAAAATGGTGGGTCAACAAGAATGGTTGGGGCTTCATTGTATTAGATAATAGAATAAGAGAGAGAGAGCGAGAGAGTATTTACCACGAGACTAAATTGTTGGTGTTCTCTGAGGAAGTGACAAGCGGCAAGCCGAACTAAACCAGCGGTAGTGGCAAGTCGACAACACTAAATTGCCAGCATTTTCTGAGGCTCCGTTTGGTTTGTGGGAAGATTTAAGTGGGATGGGATGGATGGGAAAGTGTAAAAAATTAAGTTTCCATTGTTTGGTTTTATTAGGATGGGATAAGATGGGAAAATGTACAAAGGGGAGAAGAATCCACTATTCACCTTCGTCCTCTTCTTGACCGAATAGAGCGGCGACTAGGAAGAGAAGCGGCGGATCTGAACCCATCTCCGACTTCCCTCTCCCACTCTCTCTCCCTGGTCTTCTTCTCTCTTCTCCTTCTTCTTCCCCTCTTCCCCCATTTTCTCTCTCGCTTCATTTCATCACCGCTAGTACAAGTTGCAGCGACGGTAGACTTGTGTGTCCCCTCTCTAATCTCTCTCTCTCTCTCCTCTCTCTTCTTCTTCTTCTTCTTCTTATTTTCTTCGTTTTTTGTCTCCACTACTCTGGTTTGCTTCGCCTATGCATCACTGTTGCCTGGTTCACTTTGTTGTTGCCTGGTTCGCCATAGATCTGGTGATGGCGAGAAGAATAGGAGTGCCCCTCTCACAGATCTAGTGAGACAGAAAGAAAGGTGAGGGAGAAGAGAGAAGAGGAAGATGGAGGGAGATCGCTGTAGATCGTTGCTGCCCCTTGCAATCGCCACTACCCCTCACACTGGTTCCTTGCCAGGTGAAGAAGAAGCCAGTAACGATGGTTCTTTCAATTGTAACAGTGCTTTTCCAAAATTTTCCACCAAGGTTGCACGGTTTTGGTGCGACCCCAAATCCATGATTTTGGGATCTGACATCCCACACTTTTCTCATCCCATCCCTCTCTTTCCCTTAAAACAAATGAGAGAAAATGGAATATTTTTCTCATCCCTTAAAACAAAACAAATGATTTTGGAATATTCCCTTTTTTCTCATCCCCACCCCACAAACCAAACAGAGCCTAAGGAAGTGGCAAGTGGCAAGCTGAACCAAACCAGTGGTAGTGGAAAGCCGACAACACTAAATCGTTGGCGTTCTCTGAGTATGAGGAGCAGAGGAAGGGAGGGTTGAGGTTATCTCTTGAGTCTTGACTTTCGTTCAATTGTTCGGTGTTCTCTTCTCTGAGAAGAAAACTTGAAAACCAAAAGGGAAAAGAGCAAAAGGCTAGGTTATCGAAGAGAAGAGAGGAAATAAAAAATAAAAAATTAATTTATATTATTAACAATTTCTATATATGTTTATATATTTATTTAATACGGTTTATGGTTTATGGTTTATGATTTTGTTTGATTCATAAAATTTAATAAACCAAACCATGAACAATAAATCGTATTATTTAAAATCGTGAAACTGAATTAAATTGTTATAAATTTAGACCGAACCAAATCACAAATTCAATTTGGTTTGGTTTGATTTTATGGTTTGAATCGTATAATAAACACTCCTACTCACAGCCATATCCCATCGTGTAATGAAAGCATCTCTCTGTAAATAACAATACAAATTACCGAAGATGTTCTCGCCATGGGGTTGAGAGGCATTGTGAGGTTGGTGTGAGGAGCGTGGAGAACCCATCATTTACTTTGGGTGACGAAACATGTAGAATGGTTTGATCTAGACCTGGTAAAAAGTTGATCCAACCCACAAATCCGACCCAACCCAACCCGAAAAAGCAGGGTTAGGGTCTCATATTTAGCTACCTGAATATGAGAATGACCTGACCCGACCCAATCCGGAAAAAATTAGGCTGCTTTGGGTTGAGTCATGGGTCAACCTGTTGACCTGATTGCCAAGTCTAATTAAGACTATTTATACATTGTTAGAAGTTTCCACTCTTTAATTTTTTCTATTTAGTCTTTAGTCTTTATTTTATATTTGGAATTTCAAGGTTAAATCCTTTAATTTTGGCAAATTTTATGTAGTTTTCTTTATTTTTTTTTAAATTTCAGTTATTTTTTAGGATGACCCGAACTGACCCATGGGTTAACCCTAACTCGAACATTTTGGGTTAGGGTCTAGCATTTGATAACCCAACCCGAAATTCATCCCGACCCGAAACCAATTCGAAGTGTCTTGACCCAACCCGACCCACCCAACCAAATTGCCATCGGCCGATTCAATGATAGGTCGCAATCACTACTTTTATTGTAATTATGGTTTTATGAAGCTGATTGTGCGCTATTTAACCAATGGATTGGCATCAAAATACAAAATCACCCCAATGAAATGGAGAAAAAAAGCAAAAAGAAAAAGATATTATTAGTTTCTACCAGCTTGACCCAAATCCATGCTTCAGTGATAGTACGAGTCACAAATAAAGTATTTAAGCAATATTTTTTATTCAGAAAAATATGGGATTTCACGACATGAAAGATTTGTTACCCACTAACTCACTTCAGTTGACCTTCGTATCCCCCAAATGCTAACACACTCGAGCAACGATACAGTCACGTTACACTGTAGCACAATGCCGCATACGGGCCCACCCCCATCCATATACGTAACTCATTAGTCACTACGTACCGTATTGATATTATGCATGCAGTTATTTGATGTATATATCTTTCCATTTTGTTTTAGATCAAAATGTAAAGGAGTGATCTGATGGTTAGGATCGACGGATACCGAGTCATCGTATTGAATAGAACGTTATGATGTCATATTCGAAAATCCGACGGCTCAGATTGAGTTGGTATTATAATATTAACATGGGCATCTGCTCTGTCATATCATGGACTTTCGTTCTTCGGCTCGTGGAATTGGACCAAGGTCCAAGGCCCACAAATTACTGCGTGCGGACTTTCTGTTTCTGGTTTATAATCTATATCCGTAGTAGTCATAGTCATGGAGGCTAGGCTACTGTCTATGCGTGCTAACGTGCGCAGATGGGCTAACAATAACACGATGTGATTGGGTGTGGGAGTTGGATAAAATCTGCAGGTAGTTCTTTTATGGACAAATCTAAACAGGCAGCCAGGCAGGCAGTTTAACACGAAACTCTGAACTCCCCAACTCCCAACCGAAATCGTGCGAACCACCGTGGCTCCGACGATGCGCTATGCGCCATGGGCGTAGATTAGGACAGTCTAATGAGTGCGGTTCCATATTGCGCAGAGAGAATGTTCCTTGGAACCCAGACAACCGGTTTTCAGTTTTGACTCCGTAGAAATCGAGTCCTCTATCTCGTTACCTCAGTGTCTCGGAAGCAAAACCCTACTACTCAACTGCCGTTACGGGTTCCGTCGAAGGTTATTTTCTTCATCTAATTCCCTACTAGCTTGTTATTTTTGTTTTGCATGCTTGTTCTTCGATTAATGTATGCTGAGTCAGAGGAAACCAGTGGAAAATCTGTCAATAATCTTCAGCCTAGGGTTAGAAAGACGTACTTAATCCATGGGTTATTGGTGTTTGTATAAGGAAATTGTATATGTTTGCCCAGTGTGGTTTGTTTCTTGATTTATTCTGCTCTGGCCTTGTAAATCTCGGTTCACAATGGGTGATGTAAAGATACCTAATTGGTTAAAAGGGTTGCCTTTGGCACCCGAATATCACCCAACGGATACCGAATTCGCAGACCCAATTGCTTATATATCAAAAATCGAGAAGGAAGCGAGTGCCTTTGGGATTTGCAAAATTATCCCTCCATTGCCAAAACCTTCAAAGAGATATGTTATTGCCAACTTAAATAGGTCACTTTCGAGGTGCCCGGAACTGGCTTCTGATGTAAATTCCTCAGCTGTTTGTGCTTCCTCTCAACTGGGTGGTGGGGATAAAGGGAATGATGGGGAGCTTCGGGCGGTGTTCACGACAAGGCATCAAGAATTAGGCCAGAGTATGAAAAAAACCAAGGGACCCCCTCAGGTTCGGCAATCAGCAATGCAAAGGCAAGTTTGGCAAAGTGGGGAGGTGTATACACTGGAGCAGTTCGAGTCTAAGTCCAAGGCTTTTGCTCGGAATATTTTAGGCATGTGTAAGGAAGTTTCTCCACTCCTTATAGAGGCATTATTTTGGAAGGCAGCTTCTGAAAAGCCTATATATGTGGAATATGCAAATGATGTGCCTGGGTCTGGTTTTGGAGAACCCAAGGAACCATTTCGGTACTTCCACAAGCGGAGCAAGAAGAGAAAGTTTGATAAGAAGGTTCAGGGAATCCCTAATTGTGAGAACCAGGTAGTGGATAATATAAGCAATTCTAACAAGGATATTGAGAAAGACACCTTCGTGAATAATGATTCAATTCCATCTTCAGAGAGTTCTAAGCCATCTAGCTCGTCAAATTTGTCATCAGATGAGGGTTCAAAGTTTTTTAGGCAGAAGAGTCTAAGTGCTAGTTGTGACAGGGAAGGTACCGCTGGTTGGAAACTCTCAAACAGCCCTTGGAACTTACAAGTTATTGCACGCTCACCTGGCTCACTTACACGCTTTATGCCAGATGATATCCCGGGAGTTACTTCTCCCATGGTTTATATAGGCATGTTGTTCAGCTGGTTTGCCTGGCATGTGGAAGATCACGAGCTTCACAGCTTAAATTTTCTCCATACTGGTTCTCCAAAGACTTGGTATGCAGTTCCTGGAGATTATGCCTTTACTTTTGAGGAAGTTGTTCGTGCCCAAGGCTATGGGGGAAATCTTGATCGGCTAGGTACATTCACATGATTCTACTGAATATTCAGTCCATCTTATGAGCTTTCATGATTTCATTTTTTTTTCTTGTTGCCCTATTCTCTTATGAATGTTATGTTACAATCCTTCCCCCACCCTCCGAAGCCCGAGAAAAAAAACAGCAAATTGACAGTGGTGGAGTAACTTTAATGTTTTTTCTGATTGATTCTGTCTTTTACTTCTTAGGCAATCTGCCATTCTGCCCATTTCATTTCATATTTTCTTTCCAAAAACAGTGGCTGTAAGCAGATAGTTTTCAAGATGTCTAGGCGACACTGGGGCGCCTAGGCACTAGGCGATAAAAATTTTATAATATAAAAAATCTGACTTTTGGCTAGTTTCCTAGTTTTATATACCATTCAGCATGTATATTAATTGAAAAAATAGCAATTCTCTTTATTAAGAACATTAAATTTCCTCTAAAAATGTGGCAAATCATCACATCTAAAAGATAAAAATCTTTTACATATATTAATTTCATTATTTTCAAAAATAATACTACTATAATAAGTATTTAATAGAGAAAATTCATATTAATTAGCAGCTAAAGATGGTTATCAACTTTATATGATAAATATTCATGATGGAAAGTAAAATAGAAAAAAAAACAAGGATGAAGTTTCTGTTTTATTTAATTAGAGAGAGAGAGAATAGAAAAAATAACTTTATTATTCTATTCTTTCTTTCCTCTTTCTTTTCTTTTTTTCTTTCTTTCTTTTTCTCTTCTCAAAACCCTTTGATCTTTGAAATTTCAATAGTAAAACATTAAAATAAAGTATAATTGATATATATACCATTATAATAAAATGTATTAACACATACATTAATAAGATACAGCAATATAAATGATATTATAAAAGGCGCCTGCCTTGTCATTTTTGTTGCCTAGGTGGGCGCCTAGTCGCCTAGAAGGGCGCATAGTTGCTAAAAGTCAAGGCGTTTGGGCGAGGCACCCAGCCAAGGGTGCCTAGAAGCCTAGGCGACGCCCTGACAACTATACTAAGCACAGAGAATAATATCATTTCAATGACACTCAGATAATGTTTCTTCTTATTCTTTTTTTTTTTTTTTTAAATAAAGGATAACTGAGTTTCTTTTTTTATTGTTAGCTGCACTTGCGCTTTTAGGAGAGAAGACAACTCTATTGTCACCTGAAGTGGTTGTTTCATCAGGAATTCCCTGTTGCAGGTGGGTCCTTATAAGTTGACCACTGTTTATTCCACTCATATGCCTTTTAGATATAGACTAATGTTTATGCTTGTGGTTTTTCTTTTCTTTCTTTTTTCTCCTTTAGGGTAGTACAGCATCCTGGTGAATTTGTTGTGACTTTTCCAAGGGCTTACCATGTTGGATTCAGCCATGGTAATTACTTTACAAAATTCTCCTATTCTTAGAGAGCATTTGCTTATGAAATATAATTGTTTTAACTTTGTTCCCAAACTAACCAAACTAATAGTTGTTCTGAACTAGTGTCCTAATGATGATCCTTGATACATTATTGTAAAATTTCTTGAAGGCTTGACTAAGCAAATGGAAAATGCCAATTGTTGACTTTCAAGCCTGTTCATAATTTTTAAATATCAATAACATGCATTTTTTCCTTTTTTTTTAACAATTTATATGTTAGATTAATACTTAATTTCATCTCATGTTGGGTCGTAAATGTCTTTGTCCCTTTATATTATGGTCGCCCTATTATAAAATAATATGAGGGGCTGCTGCCCGCTCTATTCTATTGACCATAGTACAAAGGGGCAAAGACATTTATGATAGGCTTGACTCCAACTTGAGGGGGAGTGTTGGAGTAAACAACAATCCAACACTCCCCCTCAAGTTGGGTCATAAATATCAATCATTCCCAACTTGTTACAGAGATCAATATTACAGGGGGTAGGAACTCCTTTTGTAAGGATACCAGTGAATGAACTAGTTTGAGGAAGTGATGCAAGGAGTACAGATGTCTACCCATCTCTAACTTCTCTCTAATAAAATGCTTTTTAACTTTAACATGCTTTGTTCTATCATGAAGAATAGGGTTGTGGGCAATACTGGTAGCAGCTTTGTTGTCACAATATAAAGTCATAGGGTTGTCACTGGAAGACCCAACTCAAGAAGCATGTTCTTCACCCATAACGTCTCAGTCACTCTATGAGCCATTACATGGTTCTCAGACTCTGCACTTCAACAATCACCACAGACTGCTTCTTACTTCTCCATGTTACTAAATTACTCTGCACTAATAGGTTTTAACCTTCAAGTCTTCTCAGAAAAAAAAAGAACCCTTCAAGTGTCCATTGTTAACAAACAATATGCCTCTTCAAGGATGCTTCTTCAAATACTTCAATATCCTTTCAGCTGGTAAGATGCGTGATATTTTGGGAGCATGCATATGTTGACTGAGAACCTTGTATCTCCCATAAGAGGTCTAGAATATATTTCCAGTGGGAAATATATTCATGGATGTTTAGTAGGACTCTGAAAGTGCTAGGGATTGTAGAGTCCTTTAGAGGACCAGCAGATAAGGTAAGGTATTCTAGGATGCAACTTGGACTGGGTTTGCTTGGGTTGATATCAACCCTAGCTCAATTTGATGTTTTAAAACCTTAACCCAACCCAATTTTACCCAAGGTTCTTAATCCTAACCCATTGAAATGCTACCTACCAACTTTGCAAATAGATATATAAATACATACTTGCATACTCATAAGTCATGCAAGCACTCATATTTTACAAAGAAGCATCATCACCAACCTTTTTCCTCTACACCTCTCTTCCCATGAACACACTTGTCTACATTAATCCATACATATCCATATGTAACATTATAAGAATATACAATTACAAGTGAAAAGAATCGTGCCAGCACATTTTAAAACAGGTAGAATTGTAGATGCCTTAACAAATTGAAAAGTAAAAAAGAAGAGGACAATTGGCCCTTAGGTACTTAAACACTTAATAAGAAAAGCTCAATATTTGGTGTCCATCATGCACCATGAAGTGTTCGTTTAGATAGACTACTAGATCAACTAATATTGTATCTAGGGGTGCAACTTGGGTGGGCTTAACCTGAACCCTACCCAACCCAATACACACACACACAACGTTTTACATTTGTTGTATAAATGTAGACGTATGTTGTATAAGATATACTATTTAGATGAGGTGTATGGTGGTTACAACTTATTGTAAAATACCATCCATAAAAGTAAAAGATAAATAAGAAACAAGTAGACAACCCAAGGCCTAGCTTGAGTATGCTAGGATTTACCTTGAGAGTTGGGCCTGGCTGACAACTTCTGGCTTGGCTTCAGTTTGGGCCACACTTTGTGCTAAGGTTAGTCTTAGGGTTGGGAATAGGTTGAGCCTAAGCCCAATCCAATTGTAATGGATGCAGTTGCAAGGGGTGGAGTAACAAGGTAGTATTTTTTTTTTGATCAGTAAATATGTGTTTTATTAAAATTCAGATTGTAATCATTTTATACAATTTGATGATGGAACTATTGATCCCTTTTCCTCACTCTATTCATCCCTCATTACAATGTAGCCCAAAATAATTGCTGTTTCAATGCCCCTTGTTTTGCTAATCCATCAGCTAGCCCATTTGCACTTCTTCAAACCCATTTAAATTCAGCCTCAAYCTCCTTTGTAATCTTCTCCACTTCCCTAATCACATGTTTAAATGTCCATGGGGTGTGGCCGCTATTTGTTGCCCATGAAGTTACTACTTTTGAATCCCCTTCCACTTCAACATGTCTGCATCCTAGTTGTTTGGCTAGCTTTAACCCTTGTAGTAATGCCAATAGTTCAGCCTTCAGCGAGTTTCTGTTGCCAATCGGCCCTGAGAACATACTCAATATCCTCCTGTTAGGGTTTCTTAATACTCCTCCTATTCCTCAGATGCCTGGATTTCCATATGAGCACCCGTCAAAATTCAGCTTTACTTTATTGCCCTCAGGTGGTGTCCACTCCGGCCTTACTTTATCTCTTAATCTCGAAGATTGTGCTACTTCGGACCAAGTTCTTAGAATATCTGCGACTGAGAAGACTTGAAAGCAGTCCAAGAGTTTTACCTAATGGGCTACTTTCACCTTGATATTATCAATCACTTCCTCTACTGTTCTACTTTTTTCCAAGAAAATTCTGTTGTTTCTCTCTTCCCATATTACCATCCCTCTTTTCTTTCTCTGTCTCAAGAAATCATGGTTGAAGAGTCCTGCCACATCTTGAGGGGGAGCCCACCTACAGCCAAAGAGAGTACGAAAGAAATCCCAAATTCGATGCACAAAAGAACAGGATATCATTAAATGAGAAAGGGTCTCACCACTTTCCTTACACAGTGAACACACATGAGGAGAAAGGCACATGTATGGGTTCTTTTCTGCAGCATATCACAAGTGTTTATACCTTACCAAGGAATACTTCTCAACAAAAAGCTTAGATCTTCGGGGGAATAGGCTTGCACCGGTTTTCTTTCACAGGGAAGATCCCACCTAGAGGGTTGGGAGAAGCAAGTACTTTGAAGAAAGAGGAGCAAGAAAAGAGGCTATCTGGAGAGCCTACCCAGATTCTTGAGTCTTCCAATGGAGGGTCCAGTTGGATCTGCCCTAATAGGTTCAGCAAGCGGGTTAAGGATTCACACTCATTCTCCCTTAGTCCCCTTCTAAAGCCTAAATTCCAGTTCACACCAGTTGGACACAGTGATCCCAACATGGATATAGCTTTTCCCTTAAGGTTAGATAGTGCAAAGAGATCAGGGAATTTGTCTTTTAGTGGGGTTTCCCTTACCCATAGATCTTCCCAAAACAGAATTCTATTACCTTGTCCCACATCAAATCGGATGGAATTGAGGAAAGTAGGGTAGATTTCATGAATTGCTGTCCAAGGAGAAGCCAAAGACCTGTGAGGGGAAACTTTTTTATCCCAACCATTTCTAGCCACCCCATGAATGCTCTCAATCACTTTGTGCCACAATCTGTCACCCTCAAAGGGAAACCTCCAAAGCCACTTACCTAGTAGAGCTGTGTTCCTTAAAAGGATGTTTCCAATTCCCAAACCCCCTTGTTCCTTGGGTTTACTAACATGCTCCCACTTGATCAAGTGATCCTTCCCTTCCTCTCTTGGGTGCCAAAGGAAATCTCTCATATACTTCTCTAGGCATCTTGCTACCTTAGAAGGGATTCTAAAAGTTGAAAGGAAATAGGTGGGGAGGTTTGCCAGAGTGGCTCTAATCAAGGTTATTCTTCCACCCAATGAAATGTAATTCCTCTTCCAAAGGGCTAACTTCCTATCAAACCTTTCTAACACTGGTTTCTAGAAGCCAACTGACTTGGGGTTTCCTCTTAAGGGTAAACCTAGGTAACTAATAGGCCAGCTTCTGATCTCACACCCCAAGATTTCTGCAAATCTTATTAGTTCTCCTTCCTCCAAATTGATCCCTACAATTCCACTTTTGGTCCAATTTATCCTCAACCCTGTCACTCTCACAAAATTATTCAGCAACACCCTCAAATTTTCCACCAACTCCTCATTGTTTCCTTCACAAAAAAATATGGTGTCATCTGCAAATTGGAAATGGGTAACAGTCACTCGGTTTCTACCTACCCTCCACCCTCTGATGAGGTCTTGAGCATCAACTTTTGCCACCATTCTACTTAACACTTCTGCCACTCAGGTAAACAAGAATGGGGATAGGGGGTCACCTTGCCTAATTCCTCCTCCTGGCCGGGAAGAAATCCTTTGCTGTACCATTGATTAGGATTGAGTAGTGAGCTGAACTTAAGCATCTTTTGATCCAAGCCCTCCATCTATCTCCGAATCCGAATCTTTCTAAAACTTTTAGGGCATCCCAATTAACCAAGTCATAGGTTTTTTCTAGATCTACCTTACAAACCAGCCCCTTTTCTCTACCCTTTCTTCTTTCCCCTACACATTCATTAGCCACCAAGATTTGATCCACAATCTTCCTTCCTTCTACAAAAGCTCATTGAAAAGGAGAGATGATCGAGGGTAATACCTTTTTTAGTCTTTCTGCTAAAACCTTTGACAAATTTTGTAAACACTCCCAATGAGACTTATTGGTCTAAAGTCTTTAGGGGTTTTGGCCTCCCTCTTCTTTGGAATCAAAGTGATGAAAGTGGCATTTGCTCCTAGTGATACCTCCCCTTTGGAGAAAAATTCATTAAAGACTTCCAGGATGTCTGGTTTTACCATATCCCAACACTCTTGATAGAAGGCCATGGAGAAGCCATTCGGCCCAGGGGCTTTAGATCTGTCCATTGAAAAAATAGCTTCCTTGATTTCTTGAAGAGAAAAACTCCTTTCTAGGACACGAGATTGTTCTTCTGACAAAATATCCCCTTCCATCTCTAGCAGTTCTGGCAACGCTCCATGTGGGCTTGAGAAAATTTCTTTAAAATGATTTACAAAAATCCTTGTAATCCCTTGGCTTTCTCTTACCACTTGTCTCTCTTCCTCCACACTCAAGATTAAGTTCTTCTTTCTCCTTCCCGTTGCAAGAGAGTGAAAAAACTTGGTGTTTCCGTCCCCCTCTGCGAGCCACTGACATCTTGATTTCTGTCTCCAACAAATCTCCTCCTTTCGTAGTATCTCTTCAAGTTTTTGCTTTTGATTCCATCTTTCCCCTCTTTCTTCTTCTTCTGAAATGACTCCGAGAGCCTCTTTCCTATCTAGCTCCTCAATCCTTTTCACCAAAATATCTTTTATTTCCTCTACCCTTTCGAAACGGGCTTTATTCCATTCTTTTATTTTTTCTTTTAGTGTCTTCAGTTTTCTGGAGAAACCTACCATTTTCAACCTCCCCAAAGGTCTGTGTGCCTCCCACCACTCCTTTAGCCTGGTCTTAAAAGTAGGGTCTTCAAACCACATGTTCTCAAATCTGAACGGAGAAGGGCCTCCCCCTGGGATTTCTTTCTCAACACAAATAGGGCAATGGTCTGAGGTAACTCTAGGTAAGCCTCTTGCTATCAAGGATCCCCACATTTCTTCCCACTTAGGAGATAAGAGGAATCTGTCTAGTTTGGGGCAGGTTGGGGGGGATTGAAAATTCGACCAAGTATAATCTACCTGAAGCAAGGGGGGGGGGGTCTCTTAATTCTAGAGTGTCTATTAGCCTATTGAACCTCCTCATACTAGTAATAAACCCTGATTTGGGTTGTTTGATTCCCCCGAATAACTGATGACATTAAAATCACCCCCCACGCACCACGGGCCATTCCACAATCCCCTGATGGCACATAATTCCTCCCAGAAAGCTTCTCTTTCTCTGTAAGAATTAGGGCCATACACATTTGTTAAAGCCCATTCTCTTCCATCCAACTTTCTTTTAATTTTTAGGGAGATTGAATACTGGCCAATCAATTCTTCCACACATTCCATTTCCTCATTCCTCCATATGGTCAGAATTCCCCCTGAAGCTCCCCACGAGGGTGTATATGACCAGCTCAAACCCCTGGCTCCCCAATTGCTCCTTATCCACCTTCTATTCAGCTCTAATAATTTGGTTTCTTGAATCATGATCAAAGTCTGGTTTTTCTTTCCTGAAAACATTCCTGATTAACCTTCTCTTCTTCACACTTCCTAATCCTCTTACGTTCCAACTTATTATTTTCATCTTAGTGATTTGTGACACCCCTGGGTTGGTTCTTCTCAACACTCCCCTCTTCTTTTCTTCCCATTTTCCTCCACATAATTTATTCCACTCTTGAGCTTCTCAATCTCACTCATTTTCCTTTTCCTTTGCTTACTCTTTTTTCTCAGGTAGACTTTCTTTCCTTTTTGCCTTTGTACTGCCCACCCTATCTCCTTCTAACCCCTCCTTTTCTTCCTGCCCATCTTCCTTTGCCCCCTCTAGGGTTTTGTTCTGGGATTGCTTTGTCTGGGTAGTGAGTGGGTTTAAGCTAGCATCAGCACTATCCAAACCTAGGGTTGGGCCAGCTAGAACTTCCAGGATTAATGATATAACCCTAGCCCTCTCCTCCTCTACTCCATCTCCCAGCAGATTCTTTGGCTCCGAAATTGTGGCACTTTGGATTGAGAGTTCCATGGTAGGTGGGGTTATGACAGGACTTGCACAGGTAGCCAAGAACAAATTAGAGACCTCTTTAGAAGGAAGCCAAGGAGAGGAAAAAGGAACTGGAGATAAAGGCGTAGGGGTTCCCTGGTTTGGCACGTCCAAAACCTTCCTTCGATCGAAACTGGCTGATTGAGAGTCCCTGGCAGGTAACACTGGGATAGCATCTAACTTCTGTTCCTCTTGTGTATCTGTGCTTTGGATAGTGCTGATATCTGGATCTCTGTCTTGGATATCCTGAGGTTGTGTCTCCCTTGGTATTTCTCTTGGATCACTGTTGGCTACAACTCAGTCCACCTTAGGGGATGAGGCAAGTCTCATTTCTATTTCTTCTTCTGGTGACAATACATAGGTTCTAGAGGATTCTTCAAACAGTAGATGCGTCCCTGTTATCTCATCATTCCACAGATTATAAGTTTTAGTGTGAGAAACACTTCCAATGCTGCTTTCATCGTGCCAGACATCTTCTTGCCTTGGATCTTCCCAATCGTTTTCTTCCTCAGAGTCTTCACGCTTGGACCTGTTAAACTTCGGGTTTGGCTTGTCTGGGGTTGTGGAATTTGTCTTCACAATCGGCATCCATTTCCAGTTGCTCTTTGACCGTATGGTTTTTACCCCAGCGTCATCGCCGGCTGCTTTCAGAGGGGTTCCAGAGATATTTTCCGCGACCACTGCAATAGAAGAGGTTGCAGGGGTCAATTTGGATGATGATAGACCCCAGCAACCGTCCCCAAACCTTTGTGTCGGCCTGTGCCCATGTGACTTTAAGTGGTCACGTGACCTATTTAAGTTACCTGGTTCGACCGGTTTAGACCCTGGGTCCAGTTTTGGCGCCCTTTCAAAATTTGTTCTTTTATTTCCGCTCCCTCCAGCTGCCACGTCAGCATAGGATTTTTCTTAGCTCGATGATCTGAAATGAATGGCTCAGATTCTAATCCTTCTTTAGAATTCTGACGGTCATCTTTCTAGTTTACTGTCTGCCCGTTTGCCTTCTCCTTGCAAAGACAGTCAGACTTATCCTCCAAGCTTCTCCCATTTTTTACCTTTGCCATGTCATCATCTTCTACCTCTTGCAGGCTTCTACAGAGTCTCTCCTCCACTGACGGCAGCAACCAGACTACCTCATGTGTGTCGCCTACCTCCAATCTCACTGTTCTCGGTATTGATTCTACTTTAATTCCCCCCAGTTTCATCGAAGCTGCACTGATATTAGATACGTCCACTTCCTCCAGGACACCGCCGCACAGATCTGTGATTTTCTTGAAGTTTTCACTGGACCAAAGATGAAATGGGAGCCCTAGCACTTTGATGCGGAAGATTTCTGTCTGATCTACACAATTCGCATTCAGACACCACTGACTGATCACCATTACTCCTACAGAAGTCTGAATGGGAAGAGCATGTATTTCTTCCACCCGATTGTCTGCTTCTAGTTCTAGTAATGCCTTATCTTCTTGAAATGGCCGAAGAACGAAGCTTCCGTCCACTTTCAGTTTTCTTTTAATCTCCTCTGCGACACATCCCCAGCTGCCTACTCTTTTGTTTGCAAGTATCACATTTTTTTATGCCAGTTCTGGTATGCTTGGTCTTCCTTCCCTGCAACTTCCTTTTCACCAACTATATGCAATAGATTTTCCGGAGCTTGGTTGGGTTGGATATTCGTTTGCCTGTTTTCGTTTCTCCATAAGAACATCTGCAATTCCTTTACGAACAGCAACCACCCCTTGCTCTGTTTTCCCATAGGAATACTAATCATTTGTCTTCTACCTTTGCTGAACCATTCTGAAACTGTTACAAACCAGCCCTTCCTATTTAGTCGAAGTTCAGCTACAAACTCCTTTCCATTGATTTTGATTGAGTTCTTCCAGGCTTGCGTTTTCCTTGACACCAAAGCTACGTCTAGGAAACCTTTCAACCATGCTGCTTCCTCCCTTTGGATATACACTGTGGCTCTTTTTAATTCTCTTATCTTCAGAAACACCAGAAGCCTCGTTTTCACTTCTTCTAGTTTGTATTGCTTTGCTTCGAAAGAGATTTCCTTTCTCCACCTTCCCACTACTTCGAACTCTCCCTTCATTACAATCAAAGACCGGTTACACTATAAGACTTCCAATGCAAGAAGAAAACAAAGAGAGGAAAAGAAAAGAGATGGAAAGAGAAGAAAAATTAAGAGATTTTCTAGGTTTTACAATATCATCATTATCATCTAGTCCTATCTCAACTATATGGGTTGGTTACATGAGTAACAAGGTAGTATTTAATCCAAAGTGACAGTGAATTATTAATTTATTATGATGGTTTATGGTTGTCCTTTGGGCTGATTGTGTTTTGTATCCCTTCTGCTGTCTATAGAATGAGAGGGGTATTTTCTTCCTTGTTTGAGTTTTAATAAAATTTATTTTTTATTTTTTATTTTGATCAGCAACATAAGAACAACTTTTATTAGAACATATGAAATATTACAAGAATGAGTAGCCTTGGCTACCCCAGAAAAGCTTAGGATAACAAAAAAAATATTTCTTATAATTACAATTGAGCCCAAAACCAATTCCTTCTATTGACCCCTTGCTTAGCTAAATACTCAGCTAAGCTGTTTGCTGACCTAGGAACCCACTGCAGAACCACTGGCATGTCTTAGTTTTAATAAAATTTATCTTGGTTAACAATCAAAAGAAAAAAAAGGGTAACATAGAAGATAGGATGAGAGGGGTATTTTTTTCCTTTGCTTTGGAAAACTGAAATCATTAGAAATCTCCTTGAATGAGTGTCTGTGTGTGCCTTTTACTTTTTCCCCCTTTCTTTTTGTTAATAGGTTCTCATGACCTTCCTTTCTGTGGAAAAAAGGTTTTAATTGCGGGGAAGCTGCTAACTTTGGAACCCCACAGTGGCTCAAGGTAGCCAAAGAAGCTGCAGTTCGTAGGGCTGCTATGAATTATCTTCCTATGCTTTCCCATCAGCAGCTGCTGTACTTGCTGACCATGTCATTTGTTTCAAGGTCAGCTTGTAAATTTTCTCAAATCTCAATTCCTCAATATATATTATTAACCAGTGCTTGTTAATTAGGAACTTCTCTATGAAAATTTTTTTTGATGTTTTGCTGTGGTTATCTACTAGGCTTGGATAAAAATTTGTAAATCTTGAGCTTTAAAACACTTATACCTGATCATTAATCTGGAATGATAAAAACACAAAAACCTACAATGGGGTGATTGGCATAATTCTGTGATTTGTAATTTTTTCTATTAACAAGTTAATAAAACTTTTTTGATTGTTACCAATCCCAAAAAAAAAAAATAAAAAAACCACGAAAGCCTTTATCTGATCATAGTGTATCTTGGACTTGTTATGACACCTTTTGATTCAGCTTTGTGGTTTGTAAAATTGTCTAAATCATACACTTTTAGCTGGTTGATAGACTTGCACAGTATTCTAATTTTCTTTTTCTATAAACAATTTAATAACCTTGGCTTGATGTAGGGTAAACCATTTCATGTCATGTAAGACAGAATAACTACCATAGTGTCATGGGGCTAGTTGACGCTGTACTGCATTAATGTGTTAAGTATAGGCACACATTTTGTCAAGGGGACCCTGTGCTTAACCTTTACACCTTAGTTCCCTTCTGACTACCTACCTCCCCTTAAAGAAGCACTTAAGCTTTGGGGGTTCTGACAGAAGAATACATCAAAATGTTGAATAATCATACTGATAGTTACAATAATGTCATTGGCATTCCCCCACATACAAAATACATACATAGCCCCACCTAGACACACATGAGGACAATCTGATGGCATGCTGAGGGCAGCTATGTTTGTACATTGCTCTCTCTCCATTGGCTATGCTCCAATAACCCAGAGTCAGCTACTTGGCTCTTTGTGCATTGCTCTCTCCATCAAATGGTCTAGTTTCAGGGGGGTTATTAAAGTGCAGCTATGTTTCCCAGAGACCATTTTTTTGAAGAGGTAAAGTAAGATTTTATTATGAAAATAAAAGGATACAGGAATTGTTCACTGCACAAAGGCTGTGCAAAAGAAACACCTTAGGAATCCTCCAAAAATTAATCATTACACAAGCACTCGATACATCCCCTTTGAACAGCATATTTGAACTCAGCCACCCTCTCAGATCATCTACAACTGAATTTATCACCTTTTCTACTTGGAGCTATTTTTGATCAAAGACCCTCCTATTTCTCTCCCTCCAAATGGACCACAAGATTGCCAAAGGAATTGCATTCCACAAGATCCTACCCTTTTTGCTCAAACTTTCAACTTTCCAGCTCTCAAGAAGGGACTTAGCAGAATTAGGCATGCAAGAGGAGTAGTGAGTGGACTTAACAAAGTGACTTCAAATTCTTGAAGTGAATTCACAGTAGAGAAACAAGTGACTGGAAGTCTCTTCTCCCTCACCGCATAAGACACAAGAGGCATCTAACAGCACCATCCCTTTTTGAATCAGCAAGGTCTTTGTCAAACACTTATCTCCAACCACTATCCATGCAAAAAACTTCACTTTAGAGGGGGGCGGACCACCCCAAACTAGATGACTAGGGAAAGAGTCTGAGTCAGCAGTCTCCAAAGCAGAGAAAAAGGATTTAACTGAGAACAATTCAGATTTGGACCAACCCCAACAGCACTGATCTGGGGCAAGGGGGTTTAACCTTATGTCTTGAAGCTTTGCCAACAGCTCTGCCACCTGCGGAACCTCCCAATCATTAAAGTCTCTCCGGAAAGAGGGAGTTCAGAAAAGTGAATCACCTGAAGCAACACAGCACTTAGCTACCATAACATCCTTATCAGCAGCCAAGAGAAATAATTCTGGAAACAGATCTTTCAAGGGCAATCTGAGCACCAGCTGTCATGCCAAAAATTCAGCCTTGTACCATTCCCAACCTTACACTTAATTCCTTTCACAAAATGAGGATAAACCTTATATATCCCCTTCCACAAAATGAGCACCAGCTGTCATGTTTCCCAGAGACCATAAAAGCATTATTTAATTGCTGAAAATGAAAGGCTTTAAGCAAAAGAGGAAATTGTAAGGTGCCAACCAGCAGGTTGGTAAGGTCTCCTGCTGGTTGTAGCGGAGACCTGGGGATCGAATCCTGTCTGCACCTAGGTTGGGGGATGGGCTACCCTCCATTGTGTAGCCCTTCAAAAGATATCAAAAAAAAAAAGCTAAGGAGGAAATTATTTTGTTCTATGGTGCCTATAGTGGTGATTTGGGCTGTTTTGAGTGAAAGGAACTCATACATGCTTGAAAGCAAGGAAAACTCATGGAAGGCAATCTTGTATGTAGGTACTTTAAAGTTTGTGGCTTTTGGTGCAACAGAGCTTCAGGAAGTACCCTGCTCTCCTTTTTTGACTTGTTATCTTTGAAAAAAATGAATGTAGATATCCTCCCACTGTGTTAGCCTAGTGCACACAGGTTCTGGTGTACATTTTTTATCTTTTTTAATAGGGAAATTGTCCAAAACTCACCATGAGTTTTCAGCATTTATCTTAAACTCACAACTTTTCTAAATGTCTAAAATTCATCATGTCACTAACTTGACGTTAAACAAACTAACGGGTGTTAATATATTACCATTTTAACCTTCATAGAAAAATATAAAATATATACAAAATAAATTAACAGGTGTTAATATATTACCATTTTAATATTTAGACATGAAAAAAGGAAAATTCAAAAATATTTTCAAATATAAAATACATAAAACATAGAAATTACAAAAAAATATAAAAAATTATAAAAATTACAAACAAAATAAAAAATTATTTTCAAATTATAGAAACTATAGAAATTGAAAAACAAAATCAGAAAATAAAAATTGTAGAAAAAACACAGAAATTACAAATAAATAACAAAGAATACAGGAAAATTTATAGATTGTAGAAAATAGAAAAGTTAAGAAAACAGAAATTATAAAAAACATTGGAAATTATAACAAAATACTAAAAATGCAAAAAAAAAAAAGAAAATTGAAAACTAAAAAAGACCATTTTTCCTCTAACTCGCCATTCAAGGGTAATTTGGTCATGAAAATTGTTATTTATGCTGACATGGACACCTCTGTTAAGAAGCATTAACRGTGCACTAACGGAAGGTGAGTTTTGGAAAATAAAACTTTACTGACATGGTGAGTTTTAGCCATTTTGAAAAGTTGTGGTGAGTTTAAGGGAAATGTTGAAAACCCACGCTGAGTTTTAGACAATTTCCCTTTTTAATATACATAAATGGAAGAGCTATACTTTACCTTTCAATACACACATACAGACCATACAATCATATACTCATATAGGTGGTAAACCAAACTGATCAATGGACAACTAGGGAAAATAAAAGGTATTAGAAATGGTAATGGGACTCTTTATGTGTGAACGGGACAATGCAGAATGCTCCTTGAAATGATCAAGGGTTGGAGCAAATGTTGCTCATTAAAGTAAGGGGTAATGAAAGCTGGGACTTATGCAAGTGTGTTAGGCTGTGCAATCTCAGATTGGCCTTTGAATTACTTAGGCCTCCCCTTAGGAGATAATCCCAAGAAAGAAAGCTTTTGGAACTTGATGGTGGAAAGATTTAAGAAAAGACTTGCTTCTTAGAGGAAAAATTATCTTTCCTTAGGGGGAGGATCACTTTGATTAGGTCTACCCTAGATAACTTACCTGTTTACTTCCTATCAATGTTTAAGATTCCCACAAACGTCTCCAACAATTTGGAAAAGTTAATGAGGGATTTCTTTTGGGGAGCCAGGAGAGGAGAAGAGGGACCACAAGGTGAGTTGGGAGGTGGTAACTAGATGTAAGAAGCTAGGAGGTCTTGGGATTGGGAATATTAGGAAAAGAAACATGGCTTTGCTGGGGGAAGTGGTTGTGGAGGTTTCCTTTGGAAAAGGAGAAATTGTGGACGAAGATAGTGGCTAGCATTCATGGGCTGGAGGACAATGGCTAGGATCTGGGAATTCCTACAAGGGCTACAACTGCTTCTCCATGGAGAGCCATCCATGATCTACTTCCAGTATTCTCCCCTTGGATCAAGTATGGCTTGAATTCAGGTAACCTAATAAAGTTTTGTGAGCAAACTTGGGTTGGGATTTCCCTCATGGACCAGTTTCCCTCTTTGCATACTCTGTTAGATTTGAAAAATTAACCTATCTCTTCTTTCCTAGTTCCTTCAGACTCTACTTCTGGTTTTGGGTGGAACCTAGGCCTGAGAAGGGCCATTAGGGATACAGATTTGGGTTGCATTTTGACTCTATTAGCCAGGACCCCACTAAGGAAGACATTAGAATTTGGACCCCTTCCTCCTCGGGTACCTTCTCTTGTGCCTCGTTCTTTGAAACCCCAATTCAACCTCCTACCTCTCTTGGGTTGGCCGTCCTTGTTAAAGAGATCTGGAGCAAGCCCATTCCTCCTTGGCTTGGTATTTTTTGCTAGGAAACTTTCCTACAAAGAATCAACACAAATGACCTACTTCAAAGAAAGAGACCCAATTCTTGTTTATCCTCGAATAGGTGTACTTTCTGTAAAGTTGATGGGGAAACTGGCTACCACCTTATGGTTACTTGCCTGTTTGCTAAAACTATTTGGGAGTGGGTTTTCTCCCTTTTTGGGTGTAATTGGAATCCCCCTTTGAATATGCAAAGCTTGTTCTCTCCTTATTTCAGATGGCCTAAGAAAAGAGAGAGGATTATGTGGAGAAGCATTAGGGCAACAATATGTTGGTTTTTATGGGAAGAAAAAAACTCATGAACTTTTTTCAAACAAGGAAAGAACCATTGAAAACTTATTAGAGTTGATACACTCAAGGGTGGCCCATAGGCTGAAATATTTGGACCTATTCACAGATTTTTCTGTGGTTGATTTGTTGAGAAATTAGAAAGAGATAGCTGATTCTGCCCAGGTTAAGAGGACTCCTAGCCCCTCTTGGACCTCTCCATCCTCTGGATTCATAAAACTAAATTTTGATGGTAGTAGCATAAGGAATTCAAGGCCTTTTGAGATTGGGGGAGTGTTCAAGAATGAAGAAGGGATTATTCTTGCCATGTTTTCAGGTCCAGTTGGAGAAGGTAACTCTCTTAGGACTGAGACCTTTTTGGCTTTTGAAGGAATCCAAAGAGCAAGAGAGTTGAACATCAAAAGATTGGTCCTTGAAGGTGACTCGAAGGTAGTGGTTAGATGGCTAAAGGAAGACAGCAGTGGCATATGTGGAGCTACAACAATGAAAGGAAAATATTCAAATGGCTTACTAGGGACATTGAGGTGAAATACAGTTGAGTGAAGAGTACTGCTAACTCAATTGCCGATTGGTTAGCCAAGTAAGGGGTGAATAGGGATTCTTTGTTTTGGGCTAATTTCTAATTCCTCTTTCCTTATAATATGCTGGTGGGGAGTTAAGACATTTTACCCCCCTCTCTTGTAATTAAAGATTCAGATCTTTAATAAAGCTTATTGTTATTGATCAAAAAAAAAGTTGGGAGTTATGGTTATTCATTTCTCATAAGCCTTAGGGGAGTTGGAATTCTTTGATGCTTGGGAATTTGTTCTTCTAGTTCTGCTTTTATAGCCATTGAAACCTTAGGATTTGGGGACACATGGAGCATTAGGACCCACCATTGGATGGGTCCTTCCTAGAAGAGTATATTGTCGTAGAAGACCAATATAAACTTCTTGAGGTGAGGTTTGAAAGCTTCATTCTTGAGTGCTTGAAAAACAAATGGGGCATTTGTAAGCCCAAAAGGCATCACCAGAAATTCGTAATGGCCTTCGTGTGTTCTAAAGGCGGTGTTGTGCACATCCTTCGGGCATTTGGTGGTACCTTGACCTCAAATCCATTTAGAAAACACTGTAGCAGCCCATAATTCATCCGACAACTCATCTATGACCAATATCGGAAATTGGTCTGTAATAGTTATGTGGTTTAGGGTGCTATAATCCACACAGAACCACCATGTTCTGCCTTTCTTCTTGACTAAGAGGATTCATGATCAATGTGGATCAATACTTGGTTGTATCATCTTCTCTAGCCATTCTTGCACCATTTTTCTGATTTCATTCCTTTGGAAATGAGGGTAGCAGTAGGGTCTTACATTAGTGGGTGGTGCCACCGCTTGTATAGGAATGCGGTGATCTTGGACCTTGACCAAAGGAAATTCCTTGGGTTCAACAAACACATCAACACATTGTTGTAGGAGATGATGGTCCGATGCCTGTTTGTGAGGGTCGGCTTGCGCTACCTCTATAGATGAAAACAACTCTAGGCCAGGCATAACTAAGCCCAATTGCATGAGGACTAGCTATTGGGACCCAATGTTTTGAAAATCATATTTGTATTGTAAATCATAGAGAAAGTTGAATCGAATCAAATCGTGAATCATATCGTAAATTGTAAGATTATTTCTATTTTTACAGACTTATCAAAAAATTAAATATAGATATATTAAAAGGCTAAATATATAAAGGAAAATGACTTTACTCCATTTTAAATCTATATCTACCATATATGTACTTAAACCAATAAAATTTACCACTTATACAATGGAAGCCTAAGATGATATAATCAAGTTTGACTTGAAAATCAAACAAATTTGCATAAAATGGCTCTTTAACCTACATATGATGGAAAATAAACTCATTTCTGTCTTAAATAATATACATAAATCATTTTCTTGTAAGGGCTTTAAAAAAGCCTCCCTTGGTAGAACATAAACAAAAAATAACAAATTAGAGAACTAGTTCTTAGTTGAATTTATTTGAATCATAGTGAATCGTAGAAATCATAAGATTTATGAATCAAATTGTGGGATTGAAACATAAATATAAGATTTTTACAGAAAAGGATCCAGACATAACATTCAAATCAAAACATTGATTGGACCACCACTGGAAACACTTGAGGTTCTCCTCTTGGGTCTCCAACTGATTCAGTTGGGCTTAATTCCCTTGAGGAAGTGTGATACCATTCATTTGGAATTCCATGATGAGTTGGGCCCAGTCATAGATCACCCGGCCCAACTAATGCAACCAATTGCACATCCAACATGATGTTTGTTCCACTGGACTCTAATGGATAAAAGGCCATTGTCAAGAGTTTCCCTTGGACTTTTAGTGGAGTGGATGACTAAGCCCATTTGTCTGGCCAGATCACCCTTGATAAAATTCTATTTACTATCACTGTCAATGAGGACCATGACAGCTTGACCCAATAGTAGACGTTCAACTTTCATGGTTTGGGTAGAGTTGTGGCCCATCAAGGCCTGGAGAGATATTTTAGGAACCTCAGCCTATAGTTGGACAGACGTTTGTTCCTCATTTGGGCTTGCATCATTAGGTAGATAATCAATTTGTAGTAGATAAATCTGCCGGATCTTCTAACAATGGCCTGGTGCAAATTTGTTGTCACAATTGTAACATAAGCCTTTTCTACGCCAAGCTTGCATTTCGGCCCAAGTCAAGTGTCTGAAAGGCATAGGAGATTGGACTATAGCCCCAATTGTCTTCAATGGTGGCAGTTAGGCCTGATTGAGTGGGGTCTTCAAGATCAGCCCTGGTCTCTGGTTCACCTATCTGGGGATCTCTTACCCAAGGCCTCCGATGAAACTGCCAACCAAAGCCTTCTCCAACCAGCCGGTGCCCCTGGTGGTGAGCCTCCTAAACTCGACCTGGTACTCTTGAATGGTCCCTATTTACCTCGGCTTTGAGGGAGTCTCATTGTAATCTTTGTAGGCCGGTGAACCAAAAAGAACACAGATGGATTTAGTGAAGTCCGATCATGTGATCTCCTGTCCCATTGAAACTACAAAATCACCTCTACATCAAGGTAGATGGAAGCTATTGAAACCCATTGGTGTGGAGGAGTCTTGTGGTACTCAAAGTAATGTTCAGCCTTGAAGATCCAAGATATTGGATCATCATTGGAGAAGGTATGGAAATCAAGCTTTGTGAACTTGCCAGTGAATCCGCCTCTCCTGTGATTACTTCTGTCGCTATCCTGTTCTCTTTGCTGCCGAAATTCATTCTCTCGCTCTAAGTATCATCGTGGAGAATGCTTCCTTGATAAACACATGCCTTCCATTGTTCAATCACCCACTATTTATATGCCTTTTACAACTGAATTAGTTAGTTATAGATCTCATTTCAACCACTAACTGACGTGGTTGTCTGGATAAACATATCAAATGGGTGGCCTCTAGGTTGCTGAGCTGGGGTTGGATGGACCTGAGCTTTTAGGTGTGGAGTTCCGGGCTTGGTTTGGGCTGGCCACTGCCGGGGGGGAGGGGGTTGGGCTTGTTCATAAACCATGCATGTCTAAAACAATTTACTACAACATGCACATACAAACTCTGGGAATATCCAAATTTCTTAATTTTTGTGAATCTAAATGATCTTAGTATCCTAAAATTTGAATTATTTCTTTTAGGGTAAATGGTTGTAACCTTGGTATTTGGTAAGCCAAGAGATTTTTCCTTTTCTCCTTTTTTATGTTGGTGATAGATCCCTGGTAAAGGGTTTGGGGGGG